CAAAGATAAGATCGCACTCGTGCCGCTTTAACACCAAGTAGCCTCAACCAATTCCAAAGCATGTGGCACACGAGCCTGGCTCAAAGAAGACACAGCAGCTTGCTTGCGCTGGCCGCCAGCACGGATGGACACCACCTACATACAGCTTTTGTCTGGGTTCGGCTCACGGCTTCCACGGGGCGACCGTAGAAACTACGTGCAGGATCAAATCTCAATTTGGAGCCATCGCAGCAGTGGTGGCCTGCTTGTGGGTGCCCCCATCAGCTATCATCCTAGAGTTCTGGGCACGCAATGCGCATGTCCTGACCGTCACCTCTGCAAGATTAGCCTCCCTAACTCCAAGCAGTAGTAACGTTTGTCTCGTGTAGTGGCCACAACAAGCGCAACGATATAATATAGTATATTCGAGTATATTCTAGAATAGTATATTGCAGTCTACTAGGTTTGGTGTCAATCATGCAGCTTTGGGTCAGCTTCAGCTTACGCAACTTAAAACAGAGGTGCTTGTGGCAACTGGTAGTAGCAGCAATGGTTTTAGTGCTTGTGCAATGCCACTCATAACCAGTGAATTCTGAACCCCCTCCCCCGGCAAAAGCGGTTTGAACAGACGTTGCAAACTGCTTCCTACCCCAGATTTGGCCAGGATAAAGAAATCAACAAACACGGGTCACAAAAAGAAGAGACTAAAGAGATCTGAATACAATTCTATTCCAATCTTGCCCGTCCTTGCCTAAAGGGACCAATTTCCACTAAAACCACAAAGATTATACAAGCCTGCAAGTTCACGTACACCTGGACCGAAACACTGAACATGACCACCACAAATCAACCGACCCCTAAAATCTAGGGGTGGGGAGTGGGGGTCATGAGTTTGCTGGTGGACTCCAAAAGACAGAATCATCCCTGCCTGCTACAAACAAAACATCCCCTCCCTTTCATAATGACAGGCTCTTTTAAGAAGCGCAGCAGAAGAGTGGAGAGGTCCTTTACAAGGGACAGGACATCAGTAATGTGAGGTGGAGGCCAGTATGTGAAATTGCCTGCCATAGCTAGGCAAGGCCACCATGACAGAGACAGGTACATTTGAGGTAAGGTACACTGCAGATCTTATGAAGATGAAAGATCAGGTTTCTATGTAGCGAACCTGATCCGGAGCAGCGCCAGACACGCTGAGCACCTCGACTTCCATCGGTACCTGAAAGGATTGTAGATGCTGTGAGTGCGTGAAAACCACAACAGATGTTGGGCGGTTTCTGTGACAGTGGACGCATCAATTATCATCATCCTCCAGTCGATGCGATCATCAGAGTAATGGTAGTGCGAGTACTGCTTTGACAGCCTCAACTCTGATGAATACTGCAATTGAAGTGTTCGGAGTATTTGGGACACACGGCTTGGGTGTGGCGGATATTTTCGCGGCTATCTTGGAAAACTGCGCTCCACTATTTCCCACGTTGCTGGGATTCCTCCATTGGGATGACATCAAACGAAATGGCAAACTTTGCTATGTTGATTTTCGTAGAAGGAAGCCTGGACTGTAGTTTTGGGAGTCATCCTGTAGTGCGGAGTTAGGTATTCACCGTGTTGTGTCCCACACCCTGGGATCCGTGACATGCAAAAGTAGTGTTGCTCACTTCGACACAATATTTCATGGCAATACTCTATCCCTACTAGCCATGCCTCGATCTGAACATAATTTGCGAAGCCCTGCAGTCTCCACATCACAGCTGTTGGCTCATCACTTAGAGGGAGCTGACAGTTGAGGCTGCTCAGCTTGCGGGTATGCACCTCACTACAAGGAACCAACGCTCATGTGCTGGCAGCCAAGGTTTAACAGCATCCAGCCTTGTCACCAAAGCCTGTCAGAGGGTACGACCATGTAGCAAACGCGGCTCTGCAGCAGAAAAACAGCTGACGCAGACGCAAGATGACTTAAGGTGTATGTATACATCAATCACGCGCATGTATGCCTCCCTAGGCATTATGCGACTCTTCCCCAAGCCCCGAAAAAGGGACATGCATGGAAAACAGGGGGAATGGGTTTTGACTTTGCCGGCGCTGTGTTGCTTGATTCTTATAAGCCCTACCTAAGCCAAACAGCTGCCACGCAAAACAATAAATTGGCTGCAGAACAAATTGATTGCTCATTGGGCTCTCCGAGTCCCATTATGCGTGCCACTGCAGTCTTCTTCCCTATCCTTGCTGTGATGGGCTGCAATTGTATCTATCATCCGTGGTTCCAAGTCTCCCAGTGCGCAACAAAATATGCCTGGGACAGCAAATCACCTGAAGTGACCTGCAGCTTTGGATTCTTATTCATCCGTCCAGCCTTAAGAAGGTTGAAGGTATGGCATCGCACCATGCAATCAGCAGTCCCGACTTGCCATTCCCTGATCCCAGCACTCAATGATGGGGGACATGAAGAATTGAGGTTTGAGGTATGATGGAGTTCTGACTTCTGTAGCTTCTTTTCTGGAGGGACCTTTCTTTGCGCACTGTCGCAGTGCGGGTTTCTGGCCGGAGCATCAGTGCTGCCACCTTCTCAAAGCTCGATCTTTGGAACCTCCAGGGCCAGGCTTTTCTATTAACAAGGGTCCAGAGCGGGGTATCTAGGGATGCATACATATATCTATATATATATATGTATATATGTACGGGTGTTGCCCCAAAGTTTAAGGAAGTTCTCAGGATGCTCATGCTGTTGAGGTATCAGGGAGGGCCCGAATTGTGAGAAATATGCATGGCAAACCTTTCAAAAAGGCCGAGACTGTTCTCTCCGGTTGGGGTTTTGATTCTTAGAGCCGTTTGCTGTGTACGTGCGTCGCAGCAATAGTACTATGCTTTCAATACATAATCATTTCAGGTAATAAAGACCGAATCCAAGGTTCGGAGAAAGGATGAAGTAGGAGTTTAAGCAGGGAGTTTGCTTCCAAACAGAATTCCCCTGGTTGCAAAGGTCGCAAGCAACTAACGCACATCATATCTTGAGATCCATATGACCTAAGTTGTTTGAGATTCGGACGCCCTGCTTCCAGGGACAACTGTCTACTTCTACTTATGCGTCTACTCCTGCTGCTTCTACAGCTATCACTACCACCAGTCCAGCTACCTACGACCATGTGCTTTTCTAATGAAACTTATGTTGAGAAGATCGGCCAGCCACCTTCAGCTTTCCAGGCAGCGGCCCGCCATTCAAGACGCCATCGACGAAGGAGTCCAACTCCTCGAATGATGTCCCAGACGCCGGCTAATGGAAGATATGCAGCTCACAGCTTCCTACAGATGTGTAGAACCTATATAAGTTTGTACATACGTATCTCTTCGCCTCTCCTGGCCCGTGTACCTGCCAAATCATTTTTGTCTGGTTTGCGTGACCTGCAATAAAACTTTATGTGTACTTGTACACACACACACACGCAAGGTTCAGGGAACAGGAATCCTTAGAGACCATAGAAGGGTGCATGCGTCCCAATTAAGGATTATATAGGGACCCTTTTGAGAAATACCCACAGGGGGTGTTCGCCTCTTTTTTATCCTTGCTGAGAAGATGACTGGATTTCCGACTTTTGCAGCAATATTCAGAGCACCTCGTGCGATTTCTGTATTTCTCACAGAACCTCCTTCCACCACAACCTGCCTTTGCAGGCAGCTGCAGTGAAGGAGTGTATTAGTAATTTAGAGTCTTCACGTATTTCGTCTCCAGGCTTTGACCTGTGTGTGCATTCAAGAGCCAGCTCCTCGAAGCGTAGGGCACCGGTGTGAACCTGCTGAATGTTGGCTGCTTTCAGGCTTCTCAAGAATACCCACAATGCGAATTCCAAGCAATCTGCCCCAGAAGGGATCCCCAAACTCTTTTGCTACAGAGCTTGAGGAGGCAGGGCATGAATTGGTGTTGATGTGGTTAGCCGGCGTCTCTGTCATGGGCCAAAGGCCACGCAGTTCGGTGAAGCTGTAACCTGCTTCTGTATAAGGTGACGAGCAGTGATCGCGAGTGTTGCTGTTGCAGCCTTTGCTCAGTCCGTTGACTCGTTTATAGGCAATTACTGAGGGAGATTTAGAAAGAAATAAAGGGGAATGAGGCTATCATTCGGTTGCAAGTGCCAGCATGTATAACAGTGCCTAGAGCACTGAGAACATCCTTGGTGCAGTAGCTTTGGCCAGCCTTGAACCGCGACCGCTTCGGCCGAAACGCAACCTGAGCTGGAACAACCCATGAGACTGGATTTTGGCAACAGCAGAAGAAATGATATCAAACATATCAAGAACCATTGTGCTTCCACCACGGCAGTCAAAAAAGCTCGCAACGAACGTGGCAGTCACGATGATACAGTAGGAATGATTGTCATACTGAGTAACAGACACGGATACTTCGAGCTCATGATTGTGATGGGAATGCTCAAGAAACAGCTGGGTCGAGCTTTGCACCGCACTAGGAGAACAATAGGCTTGCTCCAAACAGTTCAGACATTCCACTTTCAGGAATTTCTAGTTAACAACGACTTTCCACTTTTTACTTGCTTGGGCTTCAAACAAAGAACCCTGTGTCTGTGGACAAGCTCATAATCTCAGCTCTGCGCGAAAAAGTCGCTGGCTTCAGCTTCATGAAGGTCGAAGGCCTCGCAGCATCATGTGACTTTGAAGAAGCTGCAGGCATGTATCTTTCCTTGTCTCTAAATGCTATTGCTTCTCTTACTGGAAAGCTCTCTCACAGGCGTTTTTTGTCTGTACTTCCGGCAGCCATGCTTGCCGACACGATCCCTTTGTGTAGAACATGCCATTTTGATTGGCCTGGACAGGGTCGACTCATATCCCACTCTCCTAGAGCTCAGGCAAGATGCATCCAGAATGGAGGGGTTCATCTCCACGTTGGCCCACATCATCTGTCAGAGCACAGAGCTTGCAAAAATGTCGAGTGGAAGGGCAGAGAACATCAAGACTGCACACATTATCCATGGCAAGACTTGCAAGTCTTATGCCCCACCCTTCCCAGCAAATCCGTCCTTGATGGGGTCTCGGCGGTACTTCTGCGCCAGCTGACGAGTGGCTTCCTCCACGGCCAGGTCTGCACCGGCCTAGGAGAAACGAGGGGAATTAAAGGGGCTTGGGGCTTAGGGATTGCAAGGAGTTTTGGGATTCTGGTTTCGTGTTCAGGGACTGGGGCTTGGGGCTTAAGTTGAAAGGGGTTCAGGGTTGGGACATGTGGGTGATGTGCAAGGACATATGTTGCCATGTGCGGGTGTTCGCAGGATTCAGAGTACTCGAACCTACGAGCAATCATCCGATTCCTCTTGCTATGACACCACCTCATTCCCTTCAAGTTTTAGACTGTGTTCCTTGAAGAATGACTTCTGTATTCCATATTCACGTGCACCTTTCCAGGCAACCTGGACATCGGACAGGGAATGGAGGGCTCAAGGATTAGGAGCCTCGGACTCTAATCAGCGGTGCAGGGTTTAGGCAGCCAAAGGTCCGACATCCTTCGCGCCACTCCCTTCAAAGCGTGTGAAGTTGACCCCGCCAAAAGACCACAAACTGGACTCAACACCCTAAGCCTTGAATCCTTCGCCTGAAGCCAGACTTATTGAATATTGGGGTTGCGCGGAACATGTCTTGGGGTTCCCAATACAGTAGATGGCCGGATAAGTCCTTGACTCTGATGCCATTCTAACCACTATAACCCCTGTAGTAGCTTCCATTTTCTTTTCCATTATCCCTATATAACCTCAAAATATACCCTATGATCCTAGTTAACTTACCTGGAAGCCCAGCCTTGAGCCACAAGAAGCAAAACTGGCTGTCTGTCGGTCCGCAGTCGCCAGCCTGGCAGGGGCTGTTTGCTGGCGAGTCTGGGAGCAAAAGAAAGGATGGTACGGCTGAGGGGCTGAATAGTCTGTGATTCATTGAATACCAGAATAGCTTCCTAGCCTTTTGGGACCTTAGGATCATGCAAGATTGACGTTTATGTATTCAAGTTGTTGTCGCTGAGATTATACTCCCAATTCCTGCTCAGCAGGCAGACATCAGATCAAAAGCCTAAGGTGAGGGCTCAAGGCCTATGATTTGGACCCCCATGCCAAGTACCTACTGACCTAAACGATTGTCAGCTAAGTTCTCACGGAAGAGCGACGATACAAGTATCTCTGCTTCAGCGCAACCTATCCTCCCCCTAAACTACAAAATGAGCCCGGGAGTCTAGGCTCAAGTTCAAAAACTTTTACTGTTACGGTTGCTGTTGCAATTTGTTGACATGGGGTTGCTACAGCCGCTGCTTTCTCCGTGCAAAGCCCCAGCTCCACTGACGATACCATGATGTCGCGAGGCCGGAAGTATCCCGATGAACAGAACTTCTTGCAACGTGCCCACCTGAACCGGAATGTTTTGACCAAACCTTGGAATGATACATCAGATTGTTGTCAAACATCACGCATATGGAGATGATCAGATTATGTCAATTCTCAGCTTGTCCTTCGCGAGTCTTGCAGTGATAGCATTCGATTGGCAAACGACAGCTCAAACACCTGCATTTGACAAAACATGGATGTTTTCAACTTTGTAAATCCTTGATAATACATGGATCCCCACGATCGGATCCACAGCTTTTGGGGCAAACTGACCAGGCCGCCTCAATTCGCTCTCGCGAGAGCTCCTTGAAGGTGGCTTGCGGCCCGGCCTCGGGCATTGGAAGCAAAAGTAATAGAAATTGATGCGGTCATGGTAGAGGGAGGAGTGGAAGCAGCAGTAGCAGTAGCTGCTTCAGCAGCAGCAGTGAATTTGTGGCATTGCTGCGGTTGATGACTATTGTTGTCCCAATGGAGCTGCTATGGCGACCTTGGGCTCCTGATTGTTGTGGTGACCGCTGTTCAAGCGTGTCTCCTGTCTTTTTGCTGGTGCTAGGGTAAGGCGCCAGTGGACTGCCTGGCAATGTTCTTGTACTTGCTGGAACTAAGACATGCAGGGTTTGCGAACGGCTTGCGTGTATGGATGTTGCAGATGAAGAACCTACCCCGGTTTTGAGCAGGACTGATTTGTTTGAGTAGGGCTTCTTGTGTGTTTCAGCAAATCCTCAAGTCCTGCCGCACATCCCAAAGCACAAATGAATTAGACTAGGACTTCCTCGTGCCACCTTCAACTCCTTTGCTCTGATGAGGCGCCTTCTTTCCCATCGCTATGGCCTTCATGAACCAGAGGTTCAAAGACTCCTCGCAGGACACGCGCGGTTCACGTCCACAAGCGGCCTAGGTCTACCAACAACTGACAGCTGCAGTCTACAGGCATTATAATAGTTTCCATTTCCTTTTCCATTATCCCAACATAGCCCCATATACAACCCCTATACATGAAAGTGCTGTGCTGGCTTATCAGACCGCGGCTCGCGAGCACCCTGGCGCGCAACATCCCACATCAAATCTGCCTTCTTCATGGTCAAGGTGAACTTCTCAGCCACCTGCACCACTGCATCCTACTGCAGACTGTATATGACTGCTCTAGGCTTCCGGCGAGAGTTAACCATCGAAATGCCTCTAGATGTTGTCCCCGTGATTGGCAAACCCATGCTGTATGATATTCAAGCGATCCTTTACAGTAAAACAATTGTTAGCGACGTTTCACAAGATGCGGCCAGTTCGACCTTCTCAATATCCTGGAAACAGGTCTCTGCAAGAGAAGTTTCGGGCTTTGCAGAACTCTGGGCATTGAGAATTGTTGGAGGGTGAGTGGGACAGGTTGCCGCCGAGCCTTACCAATCTCGTCGAAGGGGTCGATCCTCACAACTTCAGGTATCCTGACGTCGTACCTTGCTCCGTTGAAGCTAGCAGACGAGTCATCAACTTTATCTACATTTGGTCGTCATTGCGGTATCTACAGAGCACTGAAGCAATGATTATGCTGTCCTTCCTGAAGGAAACCTTTTGAAGACTAGCGACGAGTCATCCTCTACTCATGTTTGACAAGACCTTGCGAGGCAAACATGGAACAATCTTTTCAGATACAACCTGCAATCTTCAGACTCTAGGTATCCTAGGAAGAGACCCATCAACATACCGCGCCGATCTGAACGCTTCCAGACCTCGGCCTCCGGGAACCCATCCGAAGTCTGAACGTTGAGAATTTTTTGTCGTAGCAGCAGGACTGCCGGGAGCAGTCTCAAAATGTATCAATGTTAGGGAGCTTTTCATATTCCAGGGCCCGGTCTCCCGCTGCAGAGGCGTCTTGAACACCCCCGTCTTGTCGCAGCGCGGCACCTACGGAATGCCAGCGGCACATGTGACGTAGTCAAAGTTTCCTCATAATCTCTGATTCTCCCCAGAAATCCCAAATGCAACCTAGAAAGACTTTGAAGGATGATGCCATCAGTCACAGGAAATTTACCACCAGGAAACATTCCCTGAAGTCAGGGATGATGATTCTAGTCTCGTCTGAGGGGAGCGGAAGGCGGGCTTGGGAATCCTAATGGGGGAGCTATTCTAAGTCCATGGCAGGAGGCTTCGCTTGAGGATAGCCTGGACTTTTGATAGGCTTTCAGGCTAGGGTTAAAGTGCGCTATGGCGGCGGTGCCCTACATCGTCTATCCTTTCACCGGCTCATTCCCTGATCGCAGAGGGGTCCGCTGTATGCACCACAAGAACCCGCAACAATTGCAACAATGCACGTCAGGCTTTGTTTTCTGGCTCTTCCAGCAGCTGGAAGCTCTATGGGCCATGCCCAGGGTACATGCCGGCCGCAGATGTTACATCGAGGATTCGAGGGCGCTGTACACCACGAATTCGACGACAAAACTATTCACACCGAGGCTGTATCGGTGTCGGGGCTGCGGCTTTGGCAATTGTAAGATGTCTAGAGCTCGTCGTGGGCCTCATCCTCATCAGGCTCCGATGTGGTGCCAGAGCCATAGTGCTTGGAGACGATGGGAGCGCAGACTTCCTCGATCTCCTTCCGCTTCATCTGGATGTCCTCTGCATTCGTGGTCTCAACTAGAAACAGACATGGTTTGGTGGCTCAAAACTATGAGGTCATATTAAAACTCTTCTTACCAAAAAGTCGTGAGCTTGACGGCTAGACGTCCTCCGTGTCTGCTTCTGGATTGGCATCCATCCAAGCCTGGCCTTCCTTCAGGGCATGCTGGATTCGCTGCTTCTCCTCCGAGTCCATCCTCTCACCTAGGCCCTGGCCATCCTCGGTCGCCAAACGCATGGAATGGATGTAGCCGTCCAGGGCGATCTTCGCGTCAACGCGCTCCCGGATCCGCTTGTCCTCTCAGAAACGCAGCAGAATCGAAAACAGCAAAGAATACATTGGCAGCGAGCACAACACTGGATATGAGGATAGCAGCAGCAGCAGCAGCATCAGCAGACGCCAAAGTGAGAGAGCAGAGCAGCAGCGGCAGGAAGAGGGGCTGCAGTTCAGACAGCTGCCTCTTCGTAGCGGCAAGCCAGCGGGGCCCCTCCCCCGTCCCGTCCTCGTCCCCAAAAGCCTCCGCGTCGTTGACCATCCTCTGGATCTCCTGTTCCGTCAGGTGTCCCTGGTTGTTGATCGTGATCTGCTCACTGCGCCCGGTGCCCTTGTCCTCGGCCGCTACGTTCAAGATGCCGTTGCTGTCGATCTCGAAGGTCACCTCGATCTGGGGCTGGCCACGGGGCGCTGGGGGCACGCGGAGCTCGAACTTGCCCAGGAGGTGGTTGTCCTTAGTCATCACACGCTCGCCCTGGTAGACCTGGATGTCCACTGCTGGCTGGTTGTCCTGGGACGTCGAGAAGATTTGGCTTTTGCGTGTGGGGATCACGGTATTCCGCGGGATCAGCTTCGTCATGACACCTCCCATGGTCTCGATGCCCAGCGTGAGAGGAGCCACATCCAGCAGAACAACCTCCTCTAAGCTCTCGCCGCTCAGAATGCCAGCTTGCACGGCTGCGCCGTACGCCACCGCCTCATCCGGGTTGATGCCGCGGTTAGGTTCCTTGCCGAAGAAGTCCTTGATGAGCTGCTGCACCTTGGGGATTCGAGTAGAGCCTCCCACCAGTACGATTTCATCCACTTGGCTCTTCTTCAGCTGGGCGTCCTCCAGCACCTGCTTCACTGGCCCCAAGGTGCTCTTGAAGAGGTCCGCATTCAGCTCCTCAAACTTTGCGCGGGTCAAGGTTTCGGAGAAGTCCATGCCATCGAAGAGTGCCTCGATCTCCAGCCGAGCCTGGTGCGTGGAACTAAGCTGCCGCTTGGTCTTCTCCACTTCGCGACGTAGTTTCTGGATGGCGCGCTTATCCTGGGACATATCTTTGCCATGCTTCTTTTCGAAGACTTTGATGAAATGCTGCATCACCCGCTGGTCGAAGTCCTCTCCACCCAGGTGCGTATCACCACTGGTTGCAACCACCTCGAAGACCCCTTGGGCGATGTTCAGCAAGGACACATCGAAGGTACCGCCGCCAAGGTCGTAGACAAGGATGTTCTTCTCATCACTTTTCTTGTCCAGGCCATAAGCGATGGCAGCCGCTGTTGGTTCGTTGACAATTCGAAGGACGTTCAAGCCCGCAATGGCCCCCGCATCCTTGGTAGCCTGGCGCTGGGCATTGTTGAAGTACGCCGGCACGGTCACCACGGCATTTGACACTTCTTGGCCGAGGTAGTTCTCGGCGGTTTCCTTCATCTTCGTGAGGACCATGGAAGACACCTCCTCAGGAGGCATCAGCTTCTCCATGCCCCGAACCTTCACACCGATCATTGGCTTGCCACCCTTCTCCACGATCCGGTATGGGAGCAGCTTCATGTCCTTCTGCACGGTGGAATCCTTGAAGCGTCGCCCCATCAAGCGCTTCACGTCAAACAAGGTCTGCGTGGGGTTTACGGTGGCCTGGTTCTTTGCCGCCTCACCTGTCAGCCTCTCGTCATCTGCAAAGGCCACGTAGGAAGGTGTGATGCGGTTGCCCTGGTCGTTTGGAAGTATTTCGACTCGGCCATTCTTGTAGATGCCAACGCAGGAGTACGTGGTCCCAAGATCCACACCAATCACCGGGCCGTTGATCTTCGGCGCATCCTTGGCGCCAACGCAGTGGACACATCCGATGCATGCTGCAGCCACAAGGAAGGCACACATGGCTGCTTTCCACGCCATGGCTTAGGGTCCGCTGAACTGAATCTCTGACTTGCTCTAGTTTCTCACCAAAACGGCTATTGGCACGCAAAGGATGTCCTGCAGTTTGTTCTTGAACATGTTATCCACAAGGCTTGCACTGTCTATGAAAATCCGCCGAGGCCGGAAGCCTGGGGCGTTTAGATCCAGGGTCGGAGAGTAGAAGTAAGTTAAGCCACCCGCTTCCCCAGCAATTGTACGATCGGCTCGCTTTTTTCGGGGTTCCGCACAGGCGGGCGGGGGGTCGAAATGGACTCTCACCCCTCGACAGCCTTTGCCGAGGTGGTCTCGCATTGGCGGTTAAACTACCTCCCTTGGCTGCTACATGTTGTGACAGCTTTTTGGAAGCCTGCCTGAAGGGAAGCCTGATTCAGATGAACGTCTACATGCTAGCTTAGCAGCTATGGATGTCTGTCGTACTGGTTGTCTGTTTTGATTCTAGTGCAGCAGCACCCCGCGCCCGGCTTGCCTTCAGAAAGACAAACTTCTCTGATCGGGCTTACGCACCCCACCCAGAAAACTCAAAGACAGCCATGCGGCCCCTGTGAGACGCGCAGGTGTCGGGGGGGGCGTTAGCAGGATAAACCCCTTCATGGCTCTCACAAAGCTCACTCACTCCGATTGGAACCATGCGCCAGGGTTTTTTAACTAGCCTACCTACCACCTTGGGCTCTGGCAGTGGCGAGAGAAGCTCGCCCGTTGTATTCTCGGCTCAATCCCTGCGCATGACCAGGCCAGGAAAGGAAGCGACATCAATTGCTCAATAATGACTCAAGCCAGGTTTTCTTAGATTGGGTATGGATGTAGATCAAAGACTAGCTAATGGCTCAAGACTTCCGGTGTCGTTGCAGTTGAGGAGGTGCTGGATTGGCCTGGAAGCCTACCGATTTGACAAGTTGAACGAACATGGGGAATCCTGCAGCCGTTTGACAGATGACTCGGAGCTCATGTTTGCCAGCCTTCCACATTGGGGGAGAGCTCGCCTTGTCCTGGGTACCCAACTCCATGAGACAATGCATGCAGCAAGACACCGGGCGGGAGTATGAAGAGGTTGCGCCAACTGAAATGGAGGACTGCATGGAAGACCGGCAGCCAAAAATGTGCTGCATCAAAGGGATTGAGTTGCACCTGTGGAGCTCTGAAACTCAAGGAGATCATGAACCCTCAAACGGCTGAGAGCCTGTCAAATCCTGAGCAGATTTTGCCAAGGAGCTGTGAAAAGCAGGATGTGTGGTCCCTTGACATTGTCAAGCCTCAGGTCACGTAATAGCGCGTCAGCATGGGGGACATCTGTCCATGTTGAAGTGCCTGTGCAGCACCCATACCCAAGTAGGCTTTGATTTGCTGAATCTTAAAATTTCTGAAGGAGTTTGCATGTAAGGCCTGCGGATCACCTCCTAAGGCTTTGAGCTTTAGCTGCTAGCCCTCGACCCTGGTGTGAAACAGTGCGGTTCCTCGTACTCAAACCGCCGATCATTCTGACAATAAGAGAATATGATCGCATTGAGAATTGCTTCATGGCCCTTCCTGAGCTCCTGCACCACTTTCGAAGCTCGTGCTTCTCCTGATTTAGGAGAGTTTAGGGCAGGCTTCTGAATGATGCTTGGGGCCTGTGAGTTCTTCAAGCAGTTCCTAGACTGGAAAACTGTCTTGCTACCACGACCCCATGATTAGCGTTGTTGGTAGAACTCTAGCAGGACCTTATGAGCTGTTTTTCTGCCAGCATGGGTCGAGCTCCATAACGAATTGCACCTCAAAATGCACACCTTGTAAACTCACATTTGAAACCCTTCTTCAGCTTCTCTGGGCCCACCCACACAGGTTTGGTCTTGGGCTTATATAAGATCTTTGGCCAAAACGGTTTACCAACCTTGAAGAAAAGAGGCCAAAGCTTGACAGTGCACAACCTCCAGGGTAGAATCCCCACTGTAAACATCCAAGCAGTAATGGTTTGATTGTCCTGGTTCACGCGTGTTTTCCCTACAGCGGGAGCAAGATCACCATTCACCCACACAAGACTTAGTGGTTCACATACCACCGACTCGAAGCGGGCTGGCTCACTACATGGGCTTCTTACTCCCGTCATAACTAACCTGAAGCCTATTTGATTTTGCCTAGACCAGGTTTCAAGGTGGTCTCAAACAAGGTGATCGGATTCTCGCGAATGTTCACTTTGCCTCTCAGCATTTCTCCAACGGGAAGCACCCTCATGCACTCAACTGGTGAGCCATGAGGTCATTTGAGAAATGGGACAGGCGCAAGAAGCTAAAGCCCTAAATACATAGTAGTTTCCATTTTGTTTCCATTACCTCTACGTAATTCCCCAAGCAATAAACCCTATGTGGACCCTGGAACCCTATTTGGGGCAGGTAACCTCTTTTCTCGTTGGCTGCGCCATGGCAAGTTTCGTCTGGGCCTCGAGCTTCCCTGCGTCAACTCCAGCAGAGGGGCCTGAAGGAGCCTTGTGACCAAATACAGCAGCCACAACTGAAATGATATCATGCCCGGGTGCAGATGACACCCAGGAAGGGGGTGTCCCGATCCCTTCCCACGGCCTCCAAAATTGAATTTCACAACTTCTCCAACCTACCACCCTTCCCCCGGCAGAACCATTTCGGACCTTAAGGAGATCGCCCGCGACCCTTCACCCAACCTTTATAATCGTCGCACCTTTGACTCTCTTAAGCAAAGAGGCCTGCAGCACCTGGGTGTAGTCAGGCATCATTGCGCTGGCCCACCTGAGGGATCTGAAGACTTGGGAAACAGCGAGGTCTGGGCAACAACATGTTGTGGATGGGACCATACATCTTTGGTGCAACGTGAGGCACTCGGCTCCAGTACTCCGTAGCCAAGCCAGGTGTGCTAACGAGATGGGAATACTTCTGCACAAGCAAATTGAAGCCTGGGAGGCATCCTTGCAGAAGCAGCTACTTTGATGAGAGGCTTCTGAATTGCGCCAAAAACTCCTAGAATGACGACCAATCCTAATCTCACGCCTCAGGGTATGCGAGTGCTCCTTTTTGCTGTGGGTCAACTGTTGTCAGCTAATTTTGCGTTCCTATGAACTTGAAACATTGCTGCAGGAAAGCTCATATGAAGCTGACTGGTACTGGCACAATTCCGCATTGATGAATTGCCCTCCCAAAAAGCTGGGATCTGACAGGTCTATCCTCTGTGCTTACTGTTCCCTTTATACCAATTAGGACACTCCAAGTGTGCATGCGCCCTGACCTTCAATCCTCGACTGGTGTCCAGATAGACTGGCCACCCGAGTCATAAGAACCTATCATCCTAATCTTTGGAGCTGACTGGCATGTAGGGATGCATAGGGTTTCTAGGGGCAGATAGGAGTGTATAGGGATTCTAGGGGTGTATAGGGATAGACTTGTTAGCATGACATCACATGACATCACTCCATTCCCGCGTTTTTGCAAGTCGCAATCTTGCTGCACATGACCGTAGGTTTGGTCTTACAAGCCGCATTACACGCGTCTGCACCATGTCGCTTCTTCGGTGTATACATATATTTTTACAGATACATAATCTATATGATGATGATGATGATGATGATGATGCATCTCATCACGTCTTGCTTGCTTTCACTCTGAGCTGGTGCGCTTGCCCAGGCTCTTCGCATTGGGAGCGCCCTCGTCAAAGATCTCGGGAGCAGAGTCCTGGAAGTTCTGCCGTCAATGAACTGTTCGATTTGGACAGGCGGCCCAGGCCAAGTCCCAGAAGTTGTTCGGCTGTAGTTGGAGGTTGCTTAAGGGATAAACTGCGCACGCAAAGAGACAGGCGTAGTAAAACTGACTTCAGAGACATGCCATGCCCCTTTCCAATCTAGACGGTACGATTGCACTGCAAGTGGTACTTCTGCCGGCAAAAGCTATGCTCGGAATTGTAGGCAACATTAAGAGGTTACCAACATGCACAGTTTTGTGTGGGGTCACCGCTTCCTGTCATCTGAAATCTGTGAACCATGCAACTGAGTGCATCAGGTGATGCGGCTCACTTGCTGGGCTTCCAAATATCCTCAAGTTTTCCAGGCCTTGCTCTCGCCAAACCAGCGAAAGGCGGGAAACCTCGGCGTCCGCTCTTTGACCCCCATCTGTCGTGCTCCGGAATTCTTCATTCTTGGCTCTTGCTCTCGGTTTGGAAGAAAAATCAACTTGCTCATCTGCCGCAGTTCTACCCTTCCTTCTCTTCTTCCTACTCAGCTGCGGCGCTGCCGCTTCTGCCACCACTACAGCCACTGCCCGTACCAGTTACAGAAGCAAAGCCTCTCGAGTTTGGAGTAGCTTGGGCCCGGGCTCGTTGATGGAGGCTTTCCCGCACACATCACGCTGCTGTCGGCAGTTCACGGCACCGACGTTCAAGAAGTCCTTTGAAGCGCCCGTGTCTTTCAGATACAGAATCTCTGCCTAAAATCACCAGGAACCCTGGTTTCGGCCACTGCCCCGGCGCCTTGAAGGTGTCAGCGAACTTGATGTACTCTGGTTTCACCTACAAGTCAGAGAACAATCAACGGGAAGCCAAGGCTGTTCCAATCCCCTTGAATATCAAAACGAATTGGATTCTGAGGAAGCTAGCTGCCATCGCTTAGGCAACCCTAGGTGGATGCTCCGATGTGTTGCATCCCCTGCCCGCTAGTTTCATCGCATGCCTCTCGAGACTCATCGTTGTTCGGCTTGTAAAACCTGGGTCACCGGCATTTGGTACAGATACAGTCCAGGCCGGGCCACCCGAGAAGCGCCGCAGAGAATCAAGCTACGTGGTCAAGAATGCTTCTTCATAGGGTCCCATCGTGAAAGGCTCAGGATAAGATCGCCGCAACTAAAATTTCGGTTTCGGGGGGTAAGTAAACATCTGGGGACTGCGATGTCTCTTGGCACCTTCCCCGGTACCCGCCGGGTGGCTTTTCTTCTGGCCCTCGATGGCAAGTCTATCCTGCACCCTTTGGACGGCGCGTGTGGTGTGTCCTCCTGCAAGCTTCTGAGACCCTTTCAGACAAACTTTGGTAGGGATGGCATGTGAACTCGGCGGTGACGTTCCTAAGAATCCCTTAGGAGGCTAAGAGTTGGGCTGAGCGCGTGTGCCACAGCCAGATACTTACGGCTTGGATTCAGGTTTCACATTTCAATGCGAAGTCTCTGCAATCTCTCCCTTCATTCTGTGTTGCTTGAAGGAGGTGTGCCTTCGTGGTGATGCCCCCAGGCGGAGGTTTCAGTGGGTAGCTGAGAACTGCATCCCATGCCTCAACGCATACGCAGCCGAGAAAACTAACTTCGATGGTGGTATTCCTCAGCTGGTATACCCTCATGTACTCCCCAGCAAACAACCCACAATTCTGAGAATATCCCATGTGTGCCATCATCTGAACTCCTAGCATCCCTCTTAATAACCCCTATAATACTGCCCTATAGAACACCCCAAACCCTAAACCGTAAATCCTAGACCATCTATAATGCACTACATAAACCCCCCCCCTCTCCCCCTTAAGGAGTTTAGACTGCAGCTCCCATGTGCTTCGACTTCGGCGAGTGACTGCACGAGCCAGGGCTCGATCCGATCGTTGATCTGAGAGTTGTACCTGAAGTTGAAACTCTTTGAAGTACGAGAGCAAAACTACAGTAATTCAAGCAACAAAGCTCATAGATAGTGCTGGTACCAATGATAGGCATATCGTTCTGTCCAAGGGTCATGGCGATTCAGCAATGCATATGCTGAAGCTGCTGCTGCTGCTGCTGCTGCTGCTTCCGTCTCTTTTGACCTGCGTTAAAGATTTGATAGCGGTCGCCAAGGGGCAGATCTGAAGTGAGCTCTACGACATTGGTGTTGCCATAGATGTCCTCCTGGAGGCGCATAAGCAGTTGTGCATCTGTCACTGCCCGGACATGTGCAAATTTTGCAAATCCTTTCTTACGAAGGCACCGCTGATCCATGCTCAGAAAAAAAGAGTAGAAGTGAACGCCCCAACCCGAATACTCTCCACTAACTTGCCCGAACGCCTCAAGCTTCGGCTGACCAAGCTCTGTGAGAACATGCAAAAACTTCATTACAGCAGTGAGAGTGATTGTAAGTAGGCTTGTCGAGCGCCCAAAAACTACAGAACCCAAAGTGGTGAGCAAGGAATTAAGGAAGGGATCCCTGAAGCAGCTGCTTTAGAATCCTGAATACCAGGCCCTATCACCCCCCAACCTTTAACCCTATGGCATCCTCAATGTTCTCCATTCCCCACTAGGCGCCTAAGGATCCGTCTCCGTCCTTAGGTCCAGGCTCGCCTTCCTCCATGAACCTCAATGGCTTTCAAGGTGAGTAAGTAGGGATGCTCGGGTTTCAAATGTCAAAAGCGAACTCTCAGGATACTTGGGAGTTTCCCGAAACTAGGGGTCGCCATGATAAGGATTATTGTATTTGGGGGTCTATATTGGGGTCCCCCTCTTTTTGGAAATTACCGCTTGAGGTCATGGCCAGATTATTGGATTTATCTCAGGTTCGAAGTAGCGTTTGTTTGCCAGGTCTCAGGTAGTCAACACAGGTCCTGACCCACGGCTCGTGTGCTTGTAGCTCAAAGATCACGTGCACATAACAGTGAGGCCAACAATGAGCCGGATCTACAATAGTGTGCATGCAGTCAAGAATGGTCCTCATCCACACTAATTAGTTTGCACAAGGCTCGCCACGGTCAGAATCTATGTAGCTCCAAACTCAAAGGTGTGCCGGCACAGCAAGAAAGTGGCGAACCTACAGCCATCAAACCCAGCCTCCCGAAATTCCACCCTGACAGGCCTGTGCCTCCAAAGGAAGGCTGTTCCCCCTTGGGTTCGTTCCCCAGTATCATTAAGTAAGGTCAATGGCAGTCCCTGAACAGAGTTTGGATACTAGGCTTCAGTAGGTCTGTCACATAGTTCTTTCAACTGACTGAAGCACATACAAGCTAACTGGAAAAGTCTAGATGTTCAAGCGCATTCTGTAAGAAGTTTCGTTGGAGTGTATCGACTTGCAATGACAGCACAAAGAGGTGCTATGCTTCGCGGATAGCCACTCCAGGCAATTGACCGTGGGACATTCGATATTCAAGAAGTTGCGGTTTCATTTTGTAGAGACACGGCTCTCAAGAAACATGCGCTATCATTTACGAACCCTAGCTTCGCTTTCCCTCCCAAGGACGGCACATCATCTGGCCCCCTCGCCGAATGATCTTCACCTGATGCAGCAAGTCTGTGTTAGAACGTTCTTCAACATTGGCAGGTGGAACTGCTAGAACGCAGCTAGGACCCCTCCGTCAAGGACATGTCAACAGGGTTTGCCACTGACATACGCAGCTTGGTCCGACCGCTGAGAAGGCTGCGTTCCCATCAGGCTCACGCCCGAAATACTGTCGGAACATGGCTTTCGCCTGCCAAGCGTGTCATATTACAGCACGATATGTACCGTTCGAATGCTGGATGGAGGTCTTGGGCGTGTATGTTTAACAGAATGGCTGCCATTGCCTATCTCTCAGCGCCAAGGTGGCAAGGGAGGTACTCATCTACGTGTGTGGCCATGAACAACCTGATTGTCCCAGTCCAAAGCTGCTCCTGCGATGTCTGGCGGCTTATCTAGTCTGAAACGCTATCCCATGACTTCACCGCGCGCTGAATGCTCAGGTAGGCAAGATGCCCTCAAACCTCGTAGAGTCTCAATGCACAACAAGCTTATCATCCGGAATCTCCAGCCTCACCGTCTACATATCAAACCCAAATAAGCCCGCCAAGCCCCCAAAGTCATTGATGGCCTGCTCGTTTGATTGGTGTCCTTCTTTGAGCCCCTCTTCGCCGTGCTGGTCATAGACCTGCTGCTAGGCCATGAGGGATTAAGTAAACGATGGGGATAGCTGTGATGAGGACACCTGGGCATACACACGTAAATGTATATGTATATGTGTATGCATACGTATAGGTATAGCTTACTTAGTCGCTCCCGGCAGTGTAGGTTTAGGCACCCGTAAAGCTCGTGCAGCACGACTCCTTGGAATCATGCCACACCCCATCGTACCATTTTTACACTATCTTCCCACGGAGCAATGGGCAGCTCCCAAGGGCACCGTTTTTCTTAAGCGTGGACGAGGCAAAGGCCAAATAGAGGCGCTTCAGAACCCTTCCGAAGCCTTAGGATGCTGGGCCTTTCACCTTCCTGATGTAGACCCATGATTCATGAACCCCCTCCTTTTAAGGGCCTTAATCTTAGGATCCCTATTATAATCCCTAAGCCCTAAACCCACTAATATTAGGATCCCTATTATGACCCCTATTCACG